AACCAAGGTAGTAAGTGTACTTCAAGACAATGCATTTAACTTTGAATTCCTCTTGCTTTCACTAATCTGTACAGAAGAGATCTGTAGCACTTTTGTATAGAAGAGTTACCTTTGATTCTCTGCAAAGTGTTATGCAGCAGATTTTTGTTTGGTTTAGGAATCAGTAATGGGGGATTCTTCACTGTATAGCATGGTATGGGAAACTCTTGCCACCTTTTCAGTTGCCATTTCATTTGTTTTTCCAAAAATTATGAATTATGGTTTAGGACTATGAAAAAAGTCACGGAGGACAGAAATGTATTAGACACAGTCCCATTCATCCCATAGCCTATACTCTATAAAAAGTAATAAGATATGGTACTTCCATGGTGGTCTAGGGGTTAAGACTCAGCACTCCCAATGCAGGGGGCCTGGGTTCAATCCTTGATAAGGGAACTAGATCCTGCATGCCGCAACTAAGAGCATTGCACGCCACAACGCATATCTCACATGCCACAACTAAGACCCAGCACAGATAAATAAATATTTAAATACTTAAAAAATAATAGGACAAAACATGAATTATTCTAAAACTAGATGTTAATGATCACTACCATAGGAGAAATATGCAATAAAGGGCAAAACAGTGAATTTCCTAGTTGAATAATGTAAAGTACTAATTTTAAGTGGTTTGAAATTGCACTGAATTGGAAAGTGAGTAGCCAGTTCTCTAGTTCTAGCCATAGAAATTAGATAGAATGGAGAGAAAGACTCCTTACCCCGTCCAGAAGGAGATCTTTGTGGAATGTTGATTTTGAGGTGTTAGAAAACCATTTAGGTTACTGAAAATGTACCAGAAGTCATCCACACTGTGATAAAATTTGAAGCCAAAGTGAAAGTTGAGTTTACCCAGCAAAAGAGGATACAGCAATAGTTCTCATAGTGTAGCCCCTGGACCACTCCCACCACCAGCAGCATCTGGATGCTTCTTAGAAAACCCAGTTTTTCAGGTCCCATTCCAGATCTACTGAATCAGAAGCCTTGTGGATGGGACACAGCAATCTGTGCTTTGATAAAGTCTCCAGGGGATCCTGTGCACACTACAGTTTGAGAGTCACTGGGACAAATAAAAAAAATGGAAGAGAGCTAAAGACCCCAGTTGAAGGTTTATAAGGCTGAAGAAGACAAAAGGAAGTCTCAAAGTTGGAGAGGATCCATGGGAGCCAAACACTCATGGAAGCCATGGGAGGAGAGAATTTCAAGGAGATACTCAGTATTGTCAAATGTTATAGGAAGTTTAGTTCAAGTTGGGGCATTTGTACTAGTTCCCACATAGTACAAATGTGAACTGTTGTGCAAGCTTCTTAACCTTTCTGAGCCTCAATTTGTGCACCTGTAAAATGAGTCTGGAATCATGCTCTTCCAAAATTTTAAGATTTTTAGTGAATTAAATTATATACTAAATGTCAATTACAAAACCAGATGATTCATGAAGTAATCTTTCTGTACCATAGCCATTAAATTTGGCCATAGTTCTAAAACCTAACTTCAGTATTAAAGCTCTCAAGATTGGTGATTTTGATAACAACACTCCCATATACTTGCGTGAGTTAAGTGATGGTAGAGCAGATACTGGAGGATTATGTAACTTGGCTAGATATCAAGAACATACTAGTGCTGAGGGACTGGCATGGACGGTGGAGATGCCTTGTTTTCTGGATGTAAATTTTTATAAACTGCCACGTGGAAGCGTGACAGTTAAGATGGCTGGGTCAACTAGTTTTCTGTTTATTAACACTAGAAACACACAGTTGGGATTTGAGTCATATTTATGGGAAAGCAGCAGAAGCCATACTGATGAGCTATTTTGAGTTTTTTGTGTGAATTGTAAAATGATGACAAATACCACGTTGATTTAACAAATAGGTAAACTGAGGTATACAGTAGTGATGCTTAAAGTGAGGATACGTTATTTGTTGTTGGGAAAACTAGTAAAATAGTCTTGTTCAGCCTTCAGAGGCAGAAGCAGGCCTCTTAGCGACCTGTGACCTTGCCTGGACTGCATGCCTGCTTGCACACCTAACAATTACTGCTAGCAAGTCAAATGGTGCTTACAATAAGAAAGGGAGTGGGTCTTGCAATTTCTTGAGCCCTGACAACCTGGCCAGTCCCCTGGAGTCTGGAAAATCTTGTGACTCACATGGTGAAACCAACAGCATTGTTAAAGTGAATCCGGAGCTGCATTTTTTTTTTTTTTTTTTTGTGGTACACGGGCCTCTCACTGTTGTGGCCTCTCCCGCTGCGGAGTACAGGCTCCAGACGTGCAGGCTCAGCGGCCATGGCTCATGCGCCCAGCCGCTGCGCGACATGTGGGATCTTCCCGGACTGGGGCACGAACCCATGTCCCCTGCATCGGCAGGCGGACTCTCAACCACTGCGCCACCAGGGAAGCCCCCATTTCAAGGTTCTTAATAAGTGCTTATTTGGATGATGGAATAAATGGAAGACTGGAGACCTATATTCACTTAAATTGAATATATGCTTTATCTGAAAAGGATAACAGATTATTAGCTATTGTATTACCTATAATACCTGTATATGATTTAATCCATTATTAACTATTCGTTGAGTGCCAGCCTTTATTGGAGTCAGATCCATAAGGTGACATTTTATGTAGTGAAAAGGTAGGAAAAGGTCTGGACTTTTAGAACAGTTCCCTCGGCATTTAAGATATGAGGAAAAGTTGGAGAATTAATACACTTGACTAACCTGGATGCTGTATGAGTTCTGAAGTATCGAAAGAAGTGAACAAGGCGAGAGGCAATGCCACATACAAACTCTTGCACACTTCACAATACATTCTCTAATAAATCCTATGGCCCTACATGTTTCTGTCTCTGCACAGAGATGAATTAAACAAACAAACATACAACAAAAAGTGTAAGCCAAACAGTTCAAAATAAAATACAAAGGAATCACAGCACTGAAGGAGACTATTCATAGACCAAAGCAACCCTGTTCACAAGACCATCTCTGCAATCCTAAATTCTCCTGTATTCTAAACTGCTCCA